AGCAGGAGTTTCATACAAGTAAAGAACCCTTCTTAACTGGGCCCAGTATAATTAAAAGATCACCCTCATCATATCTGAGGCTTTGTTCCCAAATGTTACTGCAGAAAGCAGAGGATGTTGTAAGCAGATATGGCAGAAGGACCTTGGGCAGAGGTATCACTTGCATCAAGCCGTGTAGTAGAATAATGTGTAGGTGCAATATTCTCCCAAGCCTGTCATTAAATAGAGTTGCTGGGAAGTTTAGGCTCAACATGTTTCCTAATGAAATATGGGGGGAAATGCAGATAATTTAGGGGGCACATTTTCCCATTTTCCATCCAACGCAAGCTAACAAAGTTGTCAGGGGCTTGGTATTCTACCGGTTCCTCATGGCCGTGATTGCAAGTCATATGTCCATCTTCTCCTGAAGGAGGAGGGAGATGCACAAAATTTGGGCAACCAGCAAGATCATCCCCATGGGTTTTTTTTTTAAATCTTCCATCCCACATCACCAAGCATAGCTTAACGTCTAAATACATTAGAAAGAGGAAAATTACACTTCTAACTAAGCACATTTTCCAGTTCAGTAGCATTTGGGTGCATGGCTAGAGGCTGGTATTTGACAGAACGCATGTTGCCACATGGGCACGTGCTCCTTCTGTCGCACCTTTCAATTTGAGAAGTCGCAAGCAGACTTAGGTTTCCGCTGGCACAAAATCCAGCCGAGGATGCATCAACAGATAAGGTGCCGGCAAAGTGGATCAGCATCCCAGCTTTCCTTTTAGTCTACTTTATCTCCTTCTCCTTTATCTCCTCTGAGCTTCGCTTTGCAAATATAGAACCTTCCTAGTCCTCCTAAGCCGCCAAATAAAACTAATCACCAAGATCATGTTTTCACACTTAAGACCTTATTTCTTCCTGGTTTGAAATTCAAACTTGTACCATTAAACAGAATATAGCCCCTAATCCAATAGTCCAGGAATCAAGTATTATTGTCAAGGAACAAAGCCCAGCAAGTGCTTTCCTGGGATAGACCAACAGGTGAAGTCTTACCTTAATTGCTACTGAGTTCAACAAGGATGAGATTACACTCTGTGGCTAAGTACAGACAGTCAAAAAGCCTGAGGCTGAATCAGTTTGGTCTTTGCAGTTTAGTCTAAGAGGTGTAGATTGAACTGATGAACAGATGTTTGCTTTTGATTCCAGAAATGCAGCCACGTACCTGCAGTGGCCCAGGCCAGAAGCCGGGGGGCGCTAGAGCATGCCTCCGTGCTGGGCAGGAGCAGACAACTTGGGCCAAGGCTAGCCCGCCCACTTTGCAAGGGGGTGCAGGTTGCAGGGGAGGTGCAAAGCATCCTGGGATGCTGGGGGACTGTGAGTTAACTTGAATCTGGAGGAGCTCTGGGACAGAAGGTCAATAAACCAATTTCACCTAAATCAGTTCAGTCTGATACTACATCCATCCAGGTTTATCTTAGACCGGTTTCAGCCAGCATGAAAGTGGTTTATGTGCAATGAACTTCTGTTGTGTTACAGATTTGAAACAGTTTCTCATTGCTTATACCAGTTCCTGGGTAATTTCTGTCCCTCGATAAAAAGTCGAGCTAAATCTATTATCTTATATCAGATGTTGGTTGTTTCAGAGAGAAAATGTAAACCCCCAGAATGCATCTTCTTGTGCCACAGAAGTCCTTGCTTCGACCCAGCCCAGCATCGCTCATGAGGTCTGAGGGGATTGCTAGTTCTTGTTAATGTTATCCTAGCCAGTGCATCTGTCACTGTAGATGATATTCTTAGTCAAATAGGTATTTTTCTTTGGATGGCAAGTGTCTCCTGCAGCAGTGAGTTACACAGGTTAACACACTGGTTTAAAGTAGTATTTCCCTTCATTGGTGATAGACATTTCCATTGTAATGTTATGGAGAGCCCTTTTGTTCCTGTGCTTTGGGAAGGAGTACACAGCAGTGGCCTTTTCTGCAGAATTCAATGTGTGATAAGGCCTCCTCCTCAGTTATCACTAGACCCTCAAACATTTACTTGCACTGATTTCAGTAGGACCTTCTGGTGCTACTCAGCGTGTACAGGGACATCACCATCTGGTCCTTAGCTTTGCTTAACTTTAAAGTGAATCTGTTGCATGTGTCTCACTTCGGGAATCCTAGCCAATAAGTGACATGCCTAATGGTTATTCGCCTACCCTGAGTAACCATAACACCGGCTGCAACGTCCTCAAGTCGGGCATACAGCATTCAGATATGTGGCTAAACACAGCACCTTTACTCTGCGGCTGGCAAAAGGCTAACTTTCATCCTCCTTTTAATAGGATGTGCGCAACAGATCTCATGGCTTATGTGCAAATGTGCATTCATTCACAGCTATGAGGAAGGAAGTGCCAGCTTTCTGGAAATACAGAGCACTGGGATGTTAAAAATGATAGCAGTCTTTTATTAACATCCCACAAACAGCCCCTTTGGAAATTTATTTCGCTCCTAATTGCTCATAAAAATGCTGATTTGGCACGTCCTGCAGTACAGCTCGGACCTCGGGGAATCTCAGACCTCCAGCCCAGCTATCACATATCCTCCGTTCTGCCCGTGGCGTGCAGCAAAGTCCTCAGATACCAAAATGCATCCCTGTCACCTCAAAGCAAAAAGTGATTTGCCTCTAAGAGGCATCTCTTAGGGTCTCTGAAATGAGGGCTGCGTTTCCAGCACAGTGCACAGGGCTCTGTGAAGGACGGGAACCATGGTGGTGGGATAGTGAGCACTCCCCCAATGACACCGAGGTCCTCAACTGCTTCTTCTTTAGCAAGCCCTTAATTTCATATGTGGTGCCTTGAACACTCAATCCCATAGGGACTTCATTATTACTGTTTGCACTGAGGAAGCATCTAAGCACCCCAGCTATGAGACAGAGCTCTGTTGCGCTGGGTACCGTGCAAACACAGAAGAGAAGAGAGCCTTGCTCCCTTACGAGTAGAGCAGCTATACCGTGTGCATTAGAGTCACCATCACCTATCCACCCCTCTTCACAGTGCCAAAACCATCCCAGACAGCCCCTAGTTTGCCCCGCAGGGCCCTAGCATTATTTGTCAATCCTTTAGGAATATTATGTACTTGATGGAAGCATCTCAGCTGGGAGATGGGTTATGTCTTTCCTTTGCCATCTCTCTGTTTTGTTCGACACCAAAACCTGTCTTCATTCATCTGTGACCAAGTGCTGTGACGTCGTTTTTCCCGGGCAGCTCATAGGAAACGTCAGCTCATTTTTCTGTGGCCCGCAGTCCAGGTTGAGGGGGTTACAAAGCGTATTGGGATTTTGCTACTTTTTTGGAAAGGGCTCACTAAAGGTGGCTGGGTTGCACGCCGCTTTGGGGGCTGCGTGCCTGGCCAGCCTGGCGTCTGGATCTGACGTAAGAGTGCAGGAGCAGGGGTAGTTTTCACTTCCTGATGGCTGACGTATGCGGCATGATTTGCTACGATTGCTCTCTCAAAAGGCCGCTTTGTACTTGCGTAGTGGAAATAAAAGCCAGGCCCTGCCTGCCAGCCCCAGGGAAAGGAGGAAGGGCAGGAGTGTGACTGTTTTCACGCCTCCTGCAGAGAAAGGCGTACAATTCAGGGAGGGCGATGGGGTGTGATCATTTGTATATTAATCAGGCTGAACATTTACTGTGGCATTTTGTCTCTGCTTATTTTGTCTTCTGATTGCAGTGTCAAAAGGAGAAATGTATGGGCTTAGCCATGACTATGGGGATTCCTATATATGGCTTATCCATGGTTAGCCAACTATCCAAAGGCATCTATGGCAAGAATTGTGCCTTTCCTTTTGTGTTTTTCAAGACATGATTGGGCAGAATTTTTTTTTTTAAATAACTGAAATCAGAGAATAAAAAAAAATATCACAAGGACTTCAGGGGATTGTGGAGTTAAAGCAGCAGATTACACAGTCCAGCATGAGTTAAACGGTGTGAGTAGCCCTAGCAATCAGTTTAAAAGACCGTCTCCAAGCTACAGGCTGAGATTCCCAGTCTGCTTCTCCTGAATTCAGTGGGAGCTTGACCATTAGATGGAGTGCAGAAATCGATCCCTTTGTGATATAGATATATATATATTTGTTTTTAATCTGTGCATCTAATCTGGATTTATTTGGGGTCATGTTTGCAGTGGAGATGTCAGGTACTCATGCTGTGACTGGGTAATCTAAAATAATCAGTTGTCCTGGTAGGAGCTGATTATTTGGAAAGAAGGGGCCTGCCCCCGTCTTTAGAGACTGGAAACCCGACAAGTACCCCACACGTCTCTTCCAAGCTGTGCATGCTGAATACTCTGTGTTCATGATAGTCATCCCTTCGCTGTCGAACTATCCGGGCTGCTAACCTGGGGGCAGGCTCTCATTGCAGAGACTTCAGGAGGTCTAAAGAAAGAGAGGGTGGATTCATTTGAACTTGCCTGGATGCAAAGAAGCAGAAAGAACTATGCACGAATCTTTCTGTTCAGAAACCTGAGCTCCTCAGGCTGCCAAGTTCAAATCCAGGAAAAGGTTGGGGGAAGGGGGGAATGGACAAATCTTCCACCCCCTCTCCTCCCTTTTAAATGCACTTGTGACATCCATTAGTAACACAGTCTAAACTGGGCATAGCAGGCTTGTTTGGCAGGCAGAGCATTGCCCACCCTGCTGAGTGGGGGACGAATTAATCTAATCTAACCCATCTCACCCTCTGTGCCTGCTATGCCGTTCGCACGCCAGAAATCAAGGTTGTCCTTTCGATTTCAAGATCCCTGTTCAGGGCTCGGAGTAGCAAGGAGCCTTAATGAGGTGTGAACAGCTGAGCAGGGGCTGAGGGAGGGAGGGAAGAGTTCGGAGTACCGACTTCAGGGGCATTGATGAGGTTCCTGCAGGAGTGACCAGGAAGTCTGTGTCTATCAGCGTAAGTGATGCCTTTCACCTTAAACCCAGTGGAATTTGCCAAATGGTTAGCGCCATCTGGACAGTTGAAACGGTTGCCCGCCTTACCCGTGGTCATCTGAAGTGACTTATACTGTACCCGCTTGGGGCTGTCTGAAACCATGGGCCACCCTGTTCCCTTTTTGCAAAGAGAGGGCTGCTCCGTGTTCGGGGAACCCTATCTTGGTGGATATCTAATGGTATGAGAGTACCTGAGCTCCGAGGGCAGGGTGACTGGGCCGGGTTCATGGGAGCTGCACCGGTGCCTTCGCAAGTCAAACCCTCCTCCCAGCCTTCACGGTTTTGGTCCTGACTTGCAAGTGACCTGAAAAAGAAAAACCGATTCGGTGAATTTTGACCTTCAAATTCCTGAGGGTGTGGGAGTTCACCACGCTCCCTTGGTTTGGGTTTTGAATCACCTGGTTTCTATGCCTAACATTGCCAGTCTGGAACGTCAAAGGATCACTACAATGACTAAATATTTAAATGAAATAAAAAGCGTCCTGCACGGCTTTGCCGAAAACTATTTTTTATCCACCTGGCTGAAGCGCTGAAAAGAAAAATCAGTCGTTGAATTTGTTAAAACTAAATTAAAGAGGGACGACTTGTTTCTGTCAAGCGGGCAGACGGATCTATCTGCGGGACTCGTTGTGTCGGCAAGGCCCCCGCTAGGTGACGTACCAGCCCCCATGCAGTGCAGCAGGGGTCATTCTTAATAGCATTAACTGACCACGGCACGATTCATTTCCTAAACCATTTTTTTCCTCCCCTAAATATCCCATCATGAACCCGGCCCTCAAGACACCTGTCTTTTTAAGCCTAGAAACGATAATCAATTCCTGTTTGGCATTTGCTTCCAGGTCTAATTTTTACTCTCCCCTCATTTCCAGTAAAAGCAAACCGTGCAGAGAGTCATTCTGTGGATGCTGCTCAGGAAACTCTAGGTACCACGGGAAATGCGTCGCACGGAACTAATCAAAAGCTGCACGGCTCATTCTCTCTCTACCCTGCTACCACCCGTTCTGATCACTTCTCTGCTTAATAGAGGTACTAGATGAGTAAAAACAAAATTAAAGAGCCTCCCCGCACCCTTAGCAGAAAACAGCTGTCAGAGGCGTTCTCGACCTCTCAGTAATGGGGAGCACGTGAACCAAAAGGAGCAATTGCACGAGGATGGGGAAATTTGTTTCGACGTTAAGGCTGTTAAGCAACGAAGGAGGCCAAGAAGTGAGGTTAAACAATGATGGAAAACCTAACCTTAAAAATAATCCTCATTCCAAGCTAAACCCTCTATTATTTTCTCTCTACTCTCCCCGAGCTGCAGGGAACCCTTGCACAATTCATCGTGGATTGTGAAGCCATCTCAATTTAGCTACTGAAAAAGAAGAACCGACTTTTCACTGCCACTAATCATTGTGCCTTTGGCTGTCTGGATCCCGGCATCCAGCTCTCTCCCAGTCCTGTGGCATTTGGAAGCATGGCTTGCCTATCTAGCACCTCTACTATGCAGTTAGAGAAGGACTAATCTCCAACCTGTTCTAGTAGATGTAGGGATGCATCTTCTTAGCAGGGGCACGACTCCTATTAGCATCCCTAGCCGTTCTGCATCAAGGCCAGGTAGAGAATAGATAGAATAGACATTAGAGCTTGGTACCTGTAGTGTGTGCGGGGGGCTGGGAGAGGTAATCAAGTTGACAACACGGTGACCCAACAGCTTCGGAGACTTCTCCTGAACTTGTGTTCCTCGGCACGCTTGTCTGAGGACCATAAGGATTTTCTAGTGTCATCTTTTATTTTCTTTATGTATCGATATGTCCATTGTACTCATGCTTGCACTGGATGCAACTCCCCTCTATCCCCCCTGCCCAACACCGATTATGTAGGCAGCTGATATGCACCTTGCAGATGAATTACTAATCCTCAGCATTTGCATGCCTTGAATGTTCACCCACGGATGATTATTTTCCCCTGAAATGAGAGCAGGATCAGAAGCCCCAGGGTGGTAGGGAGTGGGATTCTCCGCATGTTTGTGAAATGGGATTGATGCATGCATTTTTTTTGGAATCCATTTTAATCCTCAAAGCCACCAGTCCTTGTCTCTGTCTTCAAAAACAGCAGAAATAGAATTTAAAGCCATTGCTGGTTTTCAATAGATTATTCCAACTGGTACATTTTTTTTTTCGTTATCACTGGCTGTGTCTACACGAGATGCTGACTGCACAGTTGTTCCTATAATCCTAACTGAGTATCACTGAACAGCTTTTTGGTGATGCTGACTGTGCAGTAGCTCATTACCGCTGTACAGTCAGCTTCTCCTGTAGATGCAGCTGCTCTATTTTTAAAATACCTGTCAAACTAGAAGCTCTAGACTCAGACCCGAGAAGGCGTGCCTATGCCAAAAGCTGAGATTCAGTGGTAAATCCCATTGCTGAATGGGTGACAAGGAGGAAGGTGCATGATCTGATGTTTCACAGTAGCCAGGTCTCCGTACTGAAATGCTCTTGCATCAGAATTAAAAGCCCGAATAAAGTGGTCGGCTGTTGTATGTTATGGCAGTGCTGCGGTTCCCTTGAATTCATCTTAGGAAAGCCAGGCTCTAACCTCCTTGACCAATGGTCGGTTGGATATAGATTATTTAAATATATTGTGAAAGGCTCCTTCGAGTGAGAGATACTATTCAGGTTTTTTTTTCCCAGTTGGAATATGATCCCCTCCCCAAGGCTCCCATCTACAGCTGCAACCTCCTTCTTCTGACATTGGAGGTTTTCCAATGTCAGCATATCCCAATGTGATCAGAAAAGACTAATTCTTCTCACGAGGGATGCTGTTGGCGGTTTCATTTTGGGGCTGTTGGGAAGACCTTATGGAAACATGACCAATATTCATAAACTCTCCTTTCTTGCTCACGTTACCTAAATTCTCAATCTTGCAAAACTGGTCACACTGTGATCTTGGCTTCTTTTTGTCCTGATGTTGGGGGTCTATGGTTTCCTTACCATGAAGCCTTGCTTGTATGCAAAGACAGTGTACGTTATTGTGCACGGCAGGTTGCATTAGGCTAAATTAACAACTTCCCTTTGACCAGGGTCCACCTCTTGGCTCTCCCAGCTTCAGTTCTGTGGGAGGGGAAAAGGAGCCAATGACTTAGCTAAGGATCTTGCCAAATCTGCGCAAGCTCTCAGGAGAGAGTCTCTCAGAAGGGGTTACCTCCGCTCATGAAAAAATCTTGGACTTTTCTGTAGCTGGAAGAGCTCTCTTAAAGGAACAGTCTTTGAAATGGCAGCGCGGCACAGCAGTGATTTTGTAGACTAACCTTAAGATAACAGAAAGGTCATTCAAACTGCTGGGCACTCTGAAACTTTAGATTATCCGCTTGACTCTCATTTCAGTCTCTTGCTAGAAATCATTTGGTGCCCAGAGCACAGACCCTCGCTGTTTGAAGCAGGAGGAGGTGAGGGGGCAGAAGCCTTTTTGGGCCTAGGAGTCTCAGAAGGAATACTTGCAATAGCAATGGTCTTACAGAGCAGTAGTATGGCAATGGTGAACCATGCTAGGGTAAAATGAACCAATAGAAAATCCTGGCATTAGCCACCATGGTACTCACATACAGTTTTCATAATATAACATAACAAGGTGCATTTTAATTGGCTTCCAAATGCCTGTGCCCAGCCCTGCCAGAACATACAATGGTAGCAGAGTTTCACCTGGGCTAGACTTGCAACTCTGCTAGATTATTATAATCTGCTAGATTAGTATTTGTAGAGGCAAAAGAAATAATTCAAGTTGACCCAGACAGACCGGAGCACAACAGATGTTCTTATCGACAGTGGGCGCATCTACGTGTGTGCTTTAATGTGCATTAGCCTATTTTTATGCACATTAAAGCGTCACTAAAAATCCGTGCTCTTTAGTTAGTGTGCATTAGGAAGCTAATGTGCATTAAGAGAAACTAGTGTGCATTAAGAGAACTTAATGTGCATTTTCTTAGTAGTTCACAAGGGAGGACACTTTTACACGTGCTCCGTGGGTGGGGGAGATGCTTTAATTAGAGCATCTCTCAGGGCCACTCTAATTAGAGCGCCTCAGCATCTCATGCATCAGCATCCCCATGCTTCCAAATGGCGGCAGACGCACTTGAAGTAAAGCTCATTAAAGTGCCCCGACCGCTGTTTTGAAGTGTGGGCATGCTGGTACATGAAATGCGGAGCCTGGCTGGACCACGGTAAGTCCAGGTTATCGAAGCAGCTTCACAGCATGTGTACAGGCACCCGGAGATACTAGATCTAATGCGCATTTACTAAAGCGCATTAATGCACATGTAGATGCACCCAGTAGCGGGGGAGCGATGAGTAGATTGGTAATGAAATGAGATGTTTGTAGAGCACCGTGGTTACTAGGAAGAAGAAAGGGGAGTAAGGGTGGCTGTAACTTGGAACAGAGCCTATTTCTACTTGAATAAATAACAGGTCCGGTTCAGCGATGGGCTCGGCTTGTCTCGTGCAGCTCCAGCAATGCAAAAAAGCCTTAAAGCTGTCTGAATTAACCAACCCCAGAAGCTGCTCGGACTTTCTCGAAGAGCGTAAGTGCGGTGATATGCAATTTGAGGATGTTCTCTGTCGTACTCCTGTCTGCTGGAAAAACCTGCTGTGCATTAGGAGAGACGAGACTAAGACTAGCAACAGCAATGCACAGTCATAAAAAATTCACACAGAAAGTCAGCCGTATTTCAGAAGCATAAGGTCACAGCACAACAGTAAATAAGTTTTCCAGATTAACTACCCCAGAGAGGTGAGGGTGGCTCTACCTGCAAATGGGGTTATTATTATTTTTTTCTCTCTAGCTTCTAACGAGGTAAAATTTAATCGGAGGTCTCCCTGCTCAGTCTGGTTTCAAGGCTTAAGGGGCACTAGTGCTTCCAATGCTAGTGCTTCCGGTGTTTTTAAAAATTCAGGGAGATAGTTATGCAGATTGTCCCACCAGCATTAAAATGGTGCTGCCAGCTCAGGTTATAGCTAGAGAGACAGCAAAAATGAGTATTTACCATCACCTTCATCATCTCCTGGAGTGTTTACGCTCCATAAGCCTCTTGCTCTATGACTTTACGTGTGGCTGTGTCCACCCCTGCTATAACTCACTTGAAGCCAGATATAGAGTCCATCCTCCTCTGAATTCGGGGCCCGCCATGGCAAACATTACATGCCACTTGTATTTTCTCCCTGTGATGTGTTCAGTAATTGGTTTCTGCCTCTCATTCATATTAGAAATTGGTCCCCGTACTAGTGTTAAACAATGGCTATAATTCAGTTCTGCCTGCCTTTAGCGAACCGTTCTCCAAGGCCATGAGCTCAGCACAAACTCTGGTTTGAATAATAGCCTCATTCCCCAACAAGACATAACCTCTCCCTCTCTCATTGTCACTCCTTGAATATGGTTTTCAGGAGGAAAAACATTCCCGGCTCCTGAATTCACCCATGGAGACAAATACCGCGTCCACAATGAGTCCACATCTGCCTAACATTTTGCAATGAGCAGATTAATAAACCAAATGAAGCAGCTGCAGAAGTGCAATTTAAAAGAATGGCAGGAAGCGTTAGGTAATCATTTTTTTAACCGATGCACAAATCACAATGAAAGCAGGGAGTCCTTCTAGAAAGTAATGGGGAATGCAAATACAGCATTTCAGAGGATTGTCAAGGTTATAAAACGAGCCTTCAAAACCAGATTTCCGACCAGAGTTCAAACCTCTGGTATTCGTCGGCATTATGGGGTTAGCCTTTTTTTTTAATTTTATACTAAACTAAGCATAAGCTGTTAACCACTTCTCTGCCGAAGGCTGTGCCTGTCCCGGTGCAAAGCCCACTGCAGTCAGAGGGAGCTTTCCCAGAGACATCAGTGGCACTAGGCTGGAAGGACTTGCAGTTCCTGGAGGGGGTCATCCAGAGGAACCTACGTTAGACAACTCAGGCATGTTTTGGGAGCAAAGAAAAGGTCCGTACTAAGTGTGTTCCCTTCTTTGAGTTCAAGAGCATCCTGTAAGGTCGCCCATCAACCAGTGCAGCAGTGCGGTAGTCTTTTCACCCGCTATGTTTTAAACCCATAACTCAGAGAGGCACCCCCCTTTTGGTACTGGGCCAAGCAGAGCAGCCCCAGTCTTTGACCTTGGTTTCAACACCTTCTGGTTTTCTTCCTCTCGGGATGAGCAAAATGAGTGTCCCTTTCTCACGGCAGTCCCGCAGCATCCCACTTCTGAGCTCCCTTTCATGCCGTCGCGTGTGGCTGGATAATCATTCTCGTCATCCTCAACGCCCATGCTGCACAGTGAAGCCACGTCCATCTCCCATCTGCTTGGTTGGCATCGAAACATCCCTTTTCTGAAACACTGCGACTCACTTTGCATGAGTTTCTGGTTGAATGAGAACATGATCTTGGATTAGCTGAAAGCATATATATTTCTTTTGGATTCTTCCCTGCCCAGCTCCTGCCGCCTTCCAACCGCCAGCGTCCGTGGCAGGGGCTCGCTACGTTTGCATGCAGAGAGAGTTCGGTCACTGTTTTCCAATGAAAGAATTGCATGGCAAAAGGAAAACCTGAGCAGATTATCCATGTTGTCTCTGTTGTTAATGTCTGTCTGTTTGTTTTAATGCAAAGGTGTTGGGTGTTTCTGAGTAGTGCATACTCAGGGATCAGACCTGACTGGACTTTAACCGTTCATCAAATTCACATAACAATGAGTAAAATACTGTACCTCGAGCTGTCCTCATGTGAAATGCCCCTCGTCCGTGTTCATTACTGAGTGCAATGCTTTCTGCTTGGTTTTCTTTTGTTTTGCATTTCTTACTTCTTGGCAACACCTTTGATTTGGAAGTGGCACAAGGCCTGATTTTTTCCATGATAGCCGCTGTCTTTTAAATCCTGAACATGCTCACTTCTCCAAAGGCAGTGAGAGCAGCAGTGCTTTACAGGGTGAGCTTCCCAGAGATTGATTTGAGGGCTGAAGTTTGGTGCTTTGCTGATTCAGTTCAGTAAGATGCAGTTGAACAAAAAAGCCCCTGTTGAACAAAGACGTGCAAGCTCAAGGTGCCACACAAAAGGCCTTAAAATGAATAGGCTACAAAAATGCTCTTCTGTTAAAAAAAAGACAAAGAAAACCCAGGATCGTGCAATAAAGCCTCAGCGTTAGAGTTGTGTTGGAGCATTTGGATTAGTCTGTACCGTGGCTCTTTGGAGCACGAAGATCTCCGGTCTGGTTTTCATATCAGGGTGGGTAGCGCTTAGCCGGAGGATATCACATAGAGGGCACGGGTGTGCAGGTGCTGGAAAGCAGGTCCCAAATTATGCTGAATGTTGCTGCAAATGAATTCAAAGCAAAGAGCTCTTTGGAGCAACCCTACCTTTGGGGGGGGTCCCAAATCAATCATGAACAGATTACACGTCTCAGATGTCTTTGCAACTCAAAATAATTGGCCAAAACCCGTCACTACACACAATCCTTGGTCAGTGGTGCATTTTATAACTAGATCTGTTTGGATGTAGTAAGGTCATGTGCTATCATGTGGTTCCCTGATAGCGTGAGCTGAAGTCTCCAGTCAGGGCTGCGGTGCAGATACCGGCAATTAGGAATTTGTGCTTTTGAAACTATTTGGCAGCGTTCGTTTAAGAGCAGTCATTTCTCAGACATTTCAGCAGATCGACTCATTCGCTGGTACGGTCACGGGAAGCAAATGCAGGAAGGGCGCACGTACAGCTGAAAGGCCTTTGTTTAAACGAATCACATTCACACCATGCTTTTTTTCCCCCCAGTCTTCACCAGTCATCGGTCCCAAAATCGGTCTGTGAAATGCAAACACATTTTCCGATATCTAGAGGGAATTGAGATTGGAACCTGACCCTCCGGATTTGCCAAATACCAACTGATTATTCAAAAGCTGAAAGGTGCTTTAGTCTCAGGAAATGTTGGGAGGTTTTTTCCAGGCCACCTGACCTAGGTGTAGTTACACACAAGTCAATGCGGGGGATGCTAGGTGGTTTGCAATGCTTTCTTCTTTTTTCTCTCCTTCCCTTGACGAGAGAGCGGGAAGCTTTCACTATTACCTCCAGGGATTCCCCCGGTGCTATTGTATTCCCTCTCCCCTTCCCATCCCATTTTTCATCTGTCTCACCTTTTCAGGTCTCTCGTGGAAGCCCGAGGGCCTGAGGCTCCTAGCATCCAGTGTGGTTCAATGAACTTTGGACACTTGATTTCTTTTAGGCACTTTTAAAAAATCCTACCTTCCCACTGTAAGCTCTTCCAGGAAGGGTTTTATCTCTTGCTATGCATATATGCATTTATGGTCCCCCCATTTCAGCTGATCCCTCCCCATGCTATTGCAAGAGAAATGGTAGTAATAATTAAATGCCCTGGGGGAGGTCATTTCCCACTGAATACAGTCGACCTTGAATCAGGCCTTCTGTCCCTGCTCACCATTTGGTCTGGTAAAGCCAAAAAAATGCCGCCAAAGCAAAATTTCTGTTGGCATAAATGGTTGATAGTTCACAGTAAAAAAAAAAAAAAGCACCTTCCCCACTAAAGTTGCTCCTTGAGCATCTTTAAGTAACAGCTACTCTCTTTACTGACACAACCAAGTGCTTGCTCTTGTCAGCATAGCACAACCGATGCTGCGGTGGAGCAAGGAACTGGATTTTTTTTTCTGCCTCGGAAATCTGCAGCAAAATCCTAATTGCAGACTTTTTTTTTTTAATGAGAAATGGTGATAAGAGAGCCAGGAAGAACAGAGCTTAATTCTGAGAGCGATGATGGCAGCACTCACAGCTGGAAAAAAAAGTACGGCTTTGCCTGCTTAATGGAGCAAATTTGACCAGAAAATCACTGAGAATGGATAATTTCTCATAATGCCCTTCTGTCAGGCTCATGTATACTTATATTGCCAAGTTGCAATATGTTCCATCACACAACGTTAGCTGTCTATTATTGCAAGAAACTTGAATTTTAATCACTCTCAGATTTGCCTTTCTATGAAATACCAACTCAATGGGAAGAGCTTTGTCGTAGGTGTCGAACCTTATTTTCATAATCACTTGGTATTTAGCAAACGTTAGATCGGTGCAACATTATAAAAAGCATGCCGTTTGGTTCCTAGCCATATTGCAAAGTTTTCCCCCCATGTATCAAGTTTTAGGACATTCTTTTTTGAGAGTTTCACGTGAAGTTCGTCTTTGGTTGAATAGAAGTTTGAGCATACAAAATTCAGAAATTAAAAAAAAAAAGACAAAGGGGTAAGCCCAAAAGCAAGACTAATATTTGCACAACCTTAATATGCAAATGCTTTTCCAATCTCCATATTAAATCTTTCCGTGAGATATGAAATTTAATAGTGTCTGTGCATTTAGCTAAGCAGAGACATAGACTAGGAAAAGGTTTTGGTTTTTGACCTGAAGATAGAAAAAAGGTTAGAAAAGGTTTCCAGCTGGGGAAAAAAGATAGCATGAGAAAAAGGGGAAGAGGAACAGGTCTGAATAAAAGCTTCTTAATTTTATTTTTAAATGCTTTTTGCTAAACTTTTCTGAACAATTTCTTACTGATGACAGAGCTGCAGAAGGCATATGTGGGGGGGAAAGGGAAGAAAGCTTGGTAGCTCATGATTGGGACCAATAAAGTGATTTAAGGAATCATTTGCATCATTGTTTAATGCCATTCTGTTCAGCAAGCCCTCTCATTACAGGAGGGTTTTCTGTTTGAGCATTCATTATTTTCTCTCTATTAACAGTCACTGCCATTTCATTCATTATGACAGAAACATTTCTAAAATGCTCTTCCAAAAAGCCAAAATAATTAGCCACATCTCACTGCTGCTTTGAAATGCTGTTGGTTTCGACTGGCTGCAGGGGAACGGGTATGTGCTTTCCAGAGTGACTTTTCCCGCTGTTTCCTTTTTTTGTCTTTGTGTCGATTGGTTTCTGTGCACAGTCAGAAGGTCAGTTTGAAAGACCGGGTGTTCTCCAGCCCCCGCGGTGCTGGCGCCAAAGGGAAGGGCTCTCCGCAGGCCCAGGGAGTCCGGCGATCCCCCAGCGCGGACCAGAGCATCGAAGACAGTCCAAGCAAAGTGCCCAAAAGCTGGAGCTTTGGGGACCGGAGCAGAGCTCGGCAGGCTTTCCGGATCAAGGGCGCCGCGTCGCGACAGAACTCCGAAGGTGAGAGCATCCAAAATGCAGCGATTTATCCCTAACCCGACCCTGCTGGGCTCCTGCCAGCCTTGATAGACTCCACACTGGATGCCACCAGCAGGAGCAAGTCCAGCCAACATGCACCTCTATTGCATGTGGACCACATTAGGTACAGTATAATGCCCTGCCTAGAGTCTTTCTTCTGTGCCCGCAGCTCTCCAACACGGCTACTGTATCCCCTAGTCCATAGCAGGCCCAATAAACTTGGTGGCAGGCCATACCAGGGGTGTTGGTTGAAGCCGTGTTGGTCTAAGGACATGGGCAGACAAGGTTCTTTGGGTGAATCTGATATCTTTTATTCGACCAACTCAAATAGTTGGGAAAATTATTCTTTGCAAGCTTTCGGGTACATATAATATCGTTCGTCGGGCTGAGGAAGCGTCTGCACTTGGTCTGTGCATGGGTTGAAACAGGAGTCTTCCCACCCCAGCCAGTTTGCAGGAACGATGGGGCTTTGAGCCTGCCAAAATCAGTGCTGAAATCTTCTCTGTTGGCATCACTCAGGGGAGCATCTTATCCCTGGAAGGGTATGAGGGTGGGAGAGGGGAGAAGAAAGATGCAGTCGAGGATGTGATGATGCTGGGAAGCACTTGGAGACAGACAGGGCTGGGAATGCCAGAGCAGATGTCACCTTCTCCCAGCTCAGGGAGAAAGCACTTCTGGGAAGATGCAAAGTTAACTGTGCCTACGTTTGTGTCTCTTGGAATTGGACTCTCTTCCCTTTGGAGACATGGTCGTGGAGGCTCCGGACTTTATTTCTTGCTCTTTCTTTTAAACCCAGAAGCAAGCCTTCCGGGTGAAGACATCCCCGATGACAACAAAAGCTGCAACTGCGAGTTTGTGACGGAAGATTTAACACCAGGACTGAAAGTCAGCATCAGAGCCGTGTGGTAAGAGAAGATGGGTGTGCACGTGTGCGTGTGTGTGTGTGTGTGCACACGCGTGTGAGTGAAGGAGAGGAACATAATGGGGAAATATTAATGAAAAACAACTGGTTAAAAGGGATATTTTCAGTCCAAGTGGAGGTGACAAATTCACAAATCCTACTGCTGCTAACTAGATTCCCCCAGGTGGTCTGGCCTTCTAGATAAATGATGCAAGAAGGTGGGGGGAAAAAGGCAATTTTTGCTTAGAGATGGAGTTATGGAGAGAAGAAAATCCTGTTCAACATTACGTCCAAGTCAGCATTACCAGTAGCGTTGCAATTTAATGCTGACATTTGCAAAACCAGATCGAGACTGAATCTACACGGCTGACAGACCGGGGGACCGTCAGGGCTGTTAAACCCCATTATATTTCTGAATGATGAACACAAAATCCTTTCCTAAATTTTGACTCTCTTTTTCTTACTCGCCACCCTTCCACTTGACCTGCTCTTCTCCACAAGCCTTAGGTGCCAGCCTTGATTTCCCCAAGTTCTTGGCATTCATTTTCTTGAGACAGAAAGACCCAAAAGTCAGATACAGATTTGAATCCAGAGCCAAAGTTGTTTGAGGAGGTGAGGTGCAGAGTCTCTGACCCAGGCCCACCACCATCCCCCTCTAATAGTGCTTACACCCGAACTAAGATGCTCATGATTCACTTGGCCCGGTGACGTAGCAAACGAGTTGTCCGCTAGAGGGTCCAGGGTTTATTCTCACCCTCCTCTGCCTCCTGTTGTGAGCATGGCATGTGCCTTGCTGTTAGAAACTGCTCCCAAAGTGTCTCAAGAGAGGAGAAAGTGCTGAAAAAACCCATTGGGAGAGTGCAGCCACTTTGCAAATGGGTCACGAACCAGTCCACAGGAGGAGAGAGGGAAACATCAGGGTTATCTCCTAAACCCACAGGGTCCAGGGCATGCCTCAAAACCACCGACTCCTCTGACTTGGTCTAACACTAATTTCCATGAACTATTGTAATACGGTATCCTCTGTGGTCCTCTAAAGTGCTGGGAGCCCCTCGAGCTCATTTTTAGTGGGCAAGCACTATGTCATGATTTTATAGTCAACCCTTACTGACAAAGGAAATAGCAATCCTGGACTAGCTTTCCATTTCCTACCGACCCCTTCCCATCGGCAGCGAGCCCAGACTTTTCCCTTAGTTGTAGTCATTTTACAACAGAGGCTGAATACCCTGCATTCAAACCTAAAGCAGAGGTGCTTTCCCAGTTGTCTTGCTTCCATGAGCCGTGTGCCCTCTGCTGTGATACGGGGCGGGCACCACATCAGTGCTTGCAATGCAGGGTTTTAGCGACCCTTGCTTTTCTCTCTCAGTAAATGCTCTGCTGCCCAGCCTGAAATATAAAGGAAAAAGCAGGAAAAAAAAAAAAAGACCAGCCACCAGGGAAAGTTT